TTCAGTATATAAGTATATTCAGTATGCTATAATAATGTACTTTAAGATCTAAGGGCGACAAAAATCAAATCCTTTTGCCACCAACAAAGTACCAAAACCGTCTCATCCTACATCCGTACTGAAGAAATCTAATTTTTGCCGAGTTTTTCTCTTATTCCGGCCCCCAGAGGGCGGTGTTTTCCCGCCAATTTGTGTGTGCTTGTGAAAATTTAACTGTTGTCGTTATGTCGCACCGTTTCACTTCATGTTAATGAAGTGTTATCTTGCGAGCCTACTCTTTAATTTTTATGTTTAAATCGCAAAAAGAACACATTTTAGTTTAAATATAAAAAATGAAAATGTGTTTTTAGTTTTAGTTTAAAAAAAGTATGTTTTTATTTTAATTAATGAATTGTAAATAAAAAAGTTAGTGTATAAAAGGTACTTTCCTTGTAACGGCTATATTAAAAAATGATCAATAATAAAGTATTCATTGCCGAAAAACGGGCAGGTGTCGTTTTACAGCTAAAAAACGATGTTTTTACGACCGCTAAGAAAGTTTTCTAATAATGTCTTGAGTTAAGAGTGTCCTGCCGCTAATTGCGAAATAAATTTTCAAGTTTTAACCAAAAAACTCTTTCTCGTGAGTTACGAGCGAAGAAAAAAAATGGGAGGCGTTGAAAGAAAAATGTACGAAGCTGTACAGCGCCGTATTCATAGGCGAGTCCTTGAAATGTTATAACTATTTATCAAACTGTGACTATAATTAATAAAAGTTTTTTATTTTCAATTAATATATTTTTTTGTATTGAGGTTAATTATGTAAGTACATCCTTTTTGGATTGGGTTACGAAGTACTAGCATGGTTAGAAATCTACAATCATAGTGTTTTAAATCGTCTTTAGGCTTCACATCCATTAAAAACAAATATGACATAAAGATTAATAAGTATTAATACATTAGGTAGCTACTTATAAGCGGTTATTATTAATAGTACCAAGTGTTATATTAAAATGGTTACACGTGGTTCTATGACACTGAGATTGCAAATGTTATTAGTTATTATAAACGTCAAATATTATATTATTAGTAATATTAATAGAGGTAAGTAGGAAAGTAGTTTTATTTAGAAATTAATATGAATTGTAACAGGTAATGAGGTAGTTTGTGAAGGTATATTAATTTACGTATGCACTATTTCTTTGTTAGTTATTGAAATTAGGATACCTAGATTGAAGTTAGTACATGCCTAATACACATTATATTATTATACCCTTATTATACCATTCTAAAAACCAGGTCAATCGAACTAAATTATTTCAGTATTTTTCGTAACCGCAAAAATAAAAATGACACAAATAAAAAAAAGGACGGGCTATAAATACGGCCATAATGGGTTCCGAGAAAATTATGAGAGATAGCAGATACCTATAAGAAAAGTGGTAAAAATTACCAAACGGGATGGGGTAGGCAGAGACCTTCATTTTAAACGTTGCCGTTTGCTTTGTCACGTTTTGTTAAAAAAGGGGTGAACAGTTATAGAGGTACAAATTATTGTAGTATACATTACTTAGAATTTTTCAAATTTAAATAATGGGTTGTAAGATTATTTGCTTTTGCGTAAACTTATGAATTGTTTAACAGTTTTATTTAATATTATTAGATAATAGACGTTAATAAAAATTGGTTATAAATGTATTTAAATGCAAAGTTTTATAAGTTCTTTTTTCATGAGACCCACATCGAAAATCAAAATTATTCCGCTCAAGAATCGAAGTTCGAACCCACGATACGTTTGTTGTAAACTAATTTTATACTTAACGTTATGACAATGTTATAATAACCTTCATATTAGACCACTAACACATAGTAATATTAATTTTAATACAACCGAGGTGAATTCGCTTCCAACATAGTTTATTCGTGGAAAAATCGATATTGCGCTAAATTATTCACATCAATACCAAATTATGAGCTTATAGAAATATTCGTTTAACTGCAGCTACTATATATAACAAGGCTAACAAATAACAGGTTTTAATGAATTGCTTTTATTTTTCTACACACCTTTCTACTACAAAACTTTATGGTAATAAAAATGTTTATACTTATTTCTAACATGAGTTTCAAGGATGAAATGAGAAAATATTCCTTGTGAAATAACTTTTCCGTTAATAAACATTATTATATTACTCACAAAACGTATTCACATATTTCAATAATGTCAAAAAATCACGTACGTAAATCGTTACACGTAATAAGATTTCGTCGATTCACTTCATAAAAAGTTAAAATGTCTGAAAGAGTAAGGAGTATCCTTTCAAACCTATTAACTTTAAAAGCTGGTTGGTCATTATACTTCTTTTTTTAAACGGTCTCCCGTCGCCCCCCTCCCCCCTAGAACACTTTTCATAATTACCGCTCCCTACCACCCTTGTTACAAGATGTTACAGTTAGGAGCGTTTAAAAAAAAACAATTTCATTATCTTTGCTTCTGTGATTTTTAAATGTTCAGCCCGTTCGGTTCTTTCTTTTTTTTTTTATTCTAAAGGTGATTCTTTTTGGTGTATTTACGTAGACGTTTTAAGGAGACTTTTAACATTAGTTAGCATGTATATTATGTTGGTATTTAATGTGTCTAAAATATACTCTAAACAAAACAACCTTAGGTAGTGGAAGTCAACGGTTACTCTAGTATAAGTAAAGTCACAGTCGTAATTACCAATTTAAGGTGCGTCTCTTGGCACTATAAACAGATTTAGACTCTGTCTAGTCCAGTCTAGGACACTGTTTTCTACTCAGTAATCTATTTCTGTATCAACAAGATTAGAAATTACCACGAAAAGCTTCAACAAAAACATCTTCCCATGTCAAACGGCACAAAAAGTGTGCTAAAACTGCATTCATTCTTTTTCGGTGCCAATAAATAAGTCGGGATCCTAAAGACTTTGTTCTAAAAACTCGAACACTCAACATACATCATTAAAAGCATTTTTAAAGCAATATTTATACTTAAAACGGCCGCGAAACAAAAAGAGACAACTTAACCGAATTGATTTATACGTAAAACGTAGCAAGAAGAGTACAGTCGACGAGAAAAAAAACTACAAAAAAAAAAAACAATAAACACATGTCGTAGTACGATACGACGGCGGACGTCAAAATCGTCTCAATTTTAAAACGAAAAACAATTGCGATTTGAATTTTAAATTCGCTCGGTCATTTTCGGTGGATTTTTTCGGAAAGCGACGCTGTAATAAATCGAGACGCAATAACGATAAATTCATTGGAAATCGACATGCAAATGTTGGGTATTTTTTTAGACAATGTGTATCTTAGTTTTGTTTTGTTTTGTAAAAGCAATGGAGACGTTTTCGGTGTTGTTAAGTAATGAGTAGACTATTTGTTAAGGCGTGTTTGCTGTTCTTGGCTTACAATAAAAGATAAGTAAATAGTGTGACGCCTTGTCATAATTAAAATAATATCTATGAAATTAATGACTCAAGTTTGTTTTAGGTGTTGTAAAGGAAACATTAGGTTTATTGTTTTTCTTATGAAAAACATTGAATATTATGTAAATTACATCAGTTATGTCATGTAAAAATGAAGAAAAACTGTTAAAAATAATACTAGTCATTTAAAGATAAATTCCTTTTTCATTTAAGTTAAAAATATCAAACTAATCATTCTAACCAATGAAAATACTGGGATTCTCAAAGAGAAATAATTCTCAGTCATCTCTACGGATTTCGTCGGCGCCGCCCGCAAAAGATCAAGTACTCGACTGAGTACAAAGAGTGCAGTTTTTATTTTGCCCGAGTGTACTTTTCCGTTTCGGCCGACGCGATGTGGCGGGCTCTTTATTTTTTTCGAGCACCTGTGCTTTTTTGCATTTATTTACTTGACTGTACTTTTTTAAAATGCACTCCTCTGCCCCGTTTTTGTAACTGTTTTACGTAAAAAGGTGGACTACGGGCTTTATTTTGTATAATTTATGACTAGTTTGTGGAAAATAGGTTAGATAAATTAGTGTACCTAAGATTTTAGTTTATATTGTACATGTCTATAATAGGTAATAAGTTAAATTTTCATTTAATTTCATTACAATAATACTATGTCTATAGTCATGCCTATTCTTGTACTAAGTAGGTACGTATCTATGTAAGTAAAAATGAATTTCCTTTCGTTAATCTAGCTAAAACTCGCGAACGGCTGAACTGATTTGGATAATTTTTGCCTTCAAATGTTTGTGGAAGTCCAAGGAAGGTTTAAGACTCGAGAAAAACATTTGCACTTTGTTTGCCGGCTCAGCTAGTTTCCAATAAAACAGGCGTTTAAATATAGGTATCACATAATTCAATCCGATGCCTCGATACCTATAAAAAACTACAACAATAAAATGCAGATGCATAACATCCCGTAACAAGTACTTCCTGACTTATCATACGCCACCTTGTACGCAGATGGTTGCAGAAATTAAAATAAAAACAAAAATGGCGCCTGAATCTCGATTAAATAAATTGTTAACACGCCCTCGGCGTTTTATCGCAAGATTTTTTATCTTGAACGATTCTATGCGAAAAAGCTTCCTTAGTAATGAATATGCAACGTTTAGATTCAGACTAGATATTTTATAGTTCCTGTTTAAAAAAAAAAGCGAACGAGTTACGCCACCCACTGCTTAGATTCCTGATAAAACACTTTAGTTCTAGATAAAGTTGTATTTATTGAGCTATAGTGGGAATGTTTATAAAAAATGACAACTCACCTTAAATAAGAAATTTAAAATAGTTATTGGTAAATTAACCAATACCCAGTTTATTTTTGAGGTTACATATTAGCGACTGTGTATTATGCATTCATTTTTGGAACAAATTAAAAATAAAAATACAAAATGATTTTTTACTTCCAAATTAATTACAAAATTAAAATAAAAAATGGTGATACAAATACACGGTCGCCTCTATGCGTCCCCTTCGTTTGGAAGATAACAATACACATTGAAACAGATGCCAACTCACTCGCTGAAGTGTCGACCAGCACTCCTCGAGGGTTCTCTCACTGATAGTCTGCCCTGACCGCGCTTGTTGCTGTGGAACAAAACAAAAACTCAAATACCTGTATAGCTCTCACAAATGATTTAAAGTAAGCAATTGAAATTATATTAAATAAAAATGTGATTTATTATTAATAAAAAAGGAAAAGATTTTGTCTTTTTATTTTAGTTTCATTGTTAAAAAGGAAATATCAATAAAATGTGTTATTTTTGAAAGGAAAGTAAGAATGTGATATTTAATTAGTACCTACATAAAATGATACAGTAAAATAATGAAGATAGAAATTGGTAGTGTTATTATAAAATAAATAAAAAAGTAAAATAAAGTTTACAATTAAGAAAACTCTACTATGAAAACTCGTTCAGTTAAATTATATTTCACAGTAAAAAGTACTTGCTCAAATAAGTAAAAGGTTCATAAAACAAAGCATTAAAACGTTCTTTATTATTAAAAGAGCATTAAATTAATATTCATATTTTTAAAATGTAATGAAATTTAAACTTTTATCTTTTTTTAGTTTTAGTTTTTGAATAGTTGAGTTTTTATAGTATAGAAATAGAAGAATGGAGAGAAAGAAAAACAATAATTACATCGATATTCAGGCTATTCAGGACATTTACCAGAGCGAAGGGTAACATTGCGTTGCGATCCCCGAGCGGTGTTTCTCCAGTTGGTGATTGCTGTTGTGGCTGCATGCGCAAATAGACAAAAATACGATTTTAATAAAATATATTGGTTCATATTTTATACTGCGATCATAAAGAAATATTTCATAAAAGAGAATGTTTTTTATTTTCATTTTCGAATGTCAATTTTAGAATTTGCATTTAATTGTGTAGATACATTTTTAATTATGTTCGAAAATGAAAATAAAATATGTGAGTAAGTAGAACGAGAAGGTTTTAATCTAACAGTTATAATACCAAGGATGAGTTGAAAGCAACATAAATATGAATGAGACATCTGATGTTACTAAACCCTTGAAGAAACATAGCAATGTTAAAAACAAGCAATTAAAAGTTAAAAATGGAACCCATGTCTTATATTAGTAAAAAAAGAAAATAACACTTACCCTAGACTAGGGTTGTTACCAAAATCTACACAACACTTCGTGCACATGCTGTTAAAAACGGTTAAAAACGAAAAATTAAATAAAAAACCTACTACTTTTAAAACCGTAGTAAAGCTCAATGTCCACTGTCCTCGGAATAACTAAAACGATTACAAATCCTATTTTTAGGTGTAATAAGATCCATATTTACGTGATTACGTAGTAATCGTTATCGTTAATACAGTTACTGAGATTTGTTTTGTTATTCAACCCATGCAAAATATATTTCATTTTATTTTTAATTTTAGTATTTTAGTAACCAGTGGACAAGGTCTTTTGGACAAAAAAGTGCAACATAAAAATTCATAGCGCTAAAAAATTAAATTTAAAAAAAAATGTGATTTGGTTAAAACTAAAAAAATAACAAAAAAATGGACAGACACGACATTTAGAGTTAAAAATGTATTTACATCGATATTATTGAGTGTTGATAGTAAATTTACCAGCGCAAATGGTACGAGGGACCGCTCGCTCATTGTGGAGTCGGCTGATGGTGACTGTTGTTGCTGCTTACATTCCCAAGGAAAGCGTGAAAAAGAGACATTGTCTAAGTCAATTTATTGGTGAAAATTTAACATTCGTTTTTTTAACGTTCAAAATTAACGTTGATTTTTTTATATTACTTTTTTGTAAGACGTTGGTTTCGTTGTCGTTGTTCCATTTTCGATTTAGGTAATTAAGTTTGCCATATGCTGTTTGATGTGATTTAGACTAGGTTTTATTTCAGGGTTTATTTAAGTAAGTACCATAGAATGTAAGTATCTATTTTGAATTTAGGTCCACCCGGAAATGTGCTCATTTTATAATTAAATGTAGGTACAGTATTTTTGTATTTTCTTGCTTTAAGTAATTAGATCAAGTTTATAAAATTTAAGGATACCACAATAAACATCTTTTTACGCATAGTTTTCACGGCGAATACAAACAGACAATACTTCAGCGTAACAAATTTTTGAAGAAGGAAAAGAACAATCAAATTCGTTATTTTGATAGCAAACCCTTGACTTGACAATAAAAATATTAATAAATCAAATTTTAATTAACTATTCTTTAAAAAAAACCTAAACCACAAAAGCGCAAAGCGACGAACCGTTAAATTTCAATTTACGCAAAAAAAATCTATGAATGCGAAACACGAATCTCGCCAAACCGGTTTCGTTATTCAAACAGAAATTTTCGAAAACGAAAAAAAAAGATTTGGAAACAAATAACTGTCAACACCCCTTCAGTGAAACAAAAGAGAGAGAAAAAAATTAAAAAATAAAAATGATCGCGTCCCTAATCCCGTGCCGTGGGAATCGCAAGGTGAAACGTATCTAAAACTAATTTAAAATGTAATATTCTTTCGTCTGTCTGTTGTTTTCGAATTTTGAATTAAGAAAGTTATTACTATTTTCCTTTTTTTGTTTTTTCTTTTTATTGTTGCGGCAATACAACGTTTTTCTTTTTTTAAAATAGGATTTATAGAGCTTGCGTGTTATTGTGAATTTTGGAAAATGGAACGAACGGTTTTGTGAGTTTTATTTAACTAAATGCGGAAAACGGACATAGAATTAGATTTTCGTTGTGCTATAGAAATATATTATTTTCCATTATGAATCAACTTTGATATTTTTAGATATTTACACATAGAGTTCTACAGAATAAGAATACTAGGCACAATGAAAATTAAAGACACATATACACACCTAATTAATATCTATCTCCCGTTCATATATTTTCTTTTTTACAGTGACATCGGTGTAACCAATTTCAAAAAACGAATAAACTCTATACGGCCAATCCAAAATTCAAATATAGATACGTTATTGTCACAAAAACATCACTGAACGGGACATCAAACAGAATAATCAAACCATATGCCCAAAACAAACAAATGCTGTGGAGGAATAAAGAAAAAAATAATCGACATTGTCGACAAGTTGATCACAGGTAATAATAGAATTATCACAGATTATTGTTATTTACATATCCATTGTAAAACCGGATGCGACATAAGGACACAAAAACGATTTAATAATAACTTTGACGAAGGACCTTAACCCTTTCTTGGGTTAACAAAGCTTTACAATATGTTGCCTTGGCTTCTTTCTTTTTTTTTTTATTTTATAAGGAAGGGATCATTCAAATTTGGAACGGGTTTCACCTCGGAGTAATCTGAGGTCAGTTGATCAAGAATGTTTGAAGAAGATAGACGTGATTTTTATAGTATTTTCGAATGTTAATTAACGTGAATTTGTTTACATTCGTACGTGAATATGTGACGTTGTGAAATATTTTACATTAACAAGACTGTGTTAAACGTTTCAGTGAAAACATTGTGACAACTTCAGGTAAAGTTTCACGGTTGTCTTGCCGACGGTGTGAAAAGTATACGCGAAAAACGCTCAAAGTTCTTTTGCGTTTTAGAATTTCTAAACTGTTTTAGATCCTAAACACTAAATATTATTCCTTATCACTTTTAGGAATTTTGAAAATATTAATCGTCACTCATATTTAGACATCTTGTTCATAATTAGTAAATCCTAATTATTTTAGAAATTATTACAATATTTTTCCTATTACTAATCACAACCTAAAATTATTTTAAGTGTTCAAAAACTCACCTGGATTTCATTCACCAGCTTCTCGGTCATAATCTTGTGATCAGGTGTTGCTGGTGGCTGAGGAGTTGGAGGAGCCGGCCCTGGCTGGCTGTGGCCCTCCCCCAGCTGGTCCTGGCTGGGAGAGCCTGGCCGGCTTCTATTCCAGAAGTCCTGCATCTTGAACTGCCTCTGTGCCTCAGCCGCCTGCTGCAGCGTTGGTATGTGGAGAGATAGAGGGGCAGCGCGGAGGTCCAGCGCGCTGCCTCCAGCGGAAGCCTCGTTGTTTCCTTCGGCGGCTGTCATCTTGAAGGAGTTCTGAAGCCAGCTCGCTACGAAGTTATCCTCCTCCTTGGGAGGATCCAGCAGTCTAGGGAACGGCGGCGCGGCGCTCGGCTCAAACGCGCCCTCGCCGCCGACCTGCTCGCCTTCCTCAGCTATTTTTGGTACTTTAGCCTCCCTCGGTGAGCCCTCCTCTACCGCTTCCGTCTTCCGATACTCATGGAGGTCCCTGTACCTCTCCTGCAGCGCTAGGGATATGTTTTCATTGAAGTATTTCAACATTAATTCCAGTTTCGGACGTATCGTCACAACGAGGACATGCGATCGCTCGCGGTTCTTTTATTTACACTTTTTTCGTACTCCGACGATGTCTTCGGATCTGCAATACAACAATCTCTTTTAGCGCGGCGCGTCCGAAAAATATTTACGCAAAAAGTTATCGCGGTTTAAAATTTATTTAATTTTTCGCGGCCTAGTCACCCCCGGAAAAGCGCAAGTCCCGTGGAAAGCGGAAACGAGACCTTCTTGAGACGCGGGCGGACGACGACTAACTTCTTGGTGGAAAACTTGAGCGTCGCGACGCTTTCTTGCGGGGTGGGGCGGACGCGCGCGCCAGGCGAAGACGCCGGTCCAACTAGCAAGACGCGGCGCCGCCCCCGCCGCCTTAGACGTAGCCAAGAACATGCCCACCGACGCCGGGCGCACGCGCCCCGCGTTTTTTCCGCGGAAAAATGCGTCCGGTCAAGGAAAAGACGGCGCGGCCGGCGGCGAGCGGCCGCCGTGTGACCGCGCGCCTCGCCCCGCGCGCCTCGCCTCGGACACACTCGGACACAATTTCCCCAAAAACGCATGACGGACCACTCGGACTACGGCCGAAATAAGAACTATTAAAAAGGGCGCTAAGGACGCCGCAGGGTGGTCGCCCCTCTCGCTCGCCCGACCCCGAGCCTATCCCACCCTTGCATGTTAGAACGGGACAAGTAGAGCTCCCCATTTTTTTCTAAGCCGCTATTAGTGAGGGAGGAAATGAAAAAGAATGGGTTTCTTTGTGATTTTTTCTTAATGACGTCTGTCTCGCTCGCACTTATGGGGTTAGTATATCGCTGTTTCGCGTGGAGTTTTTAAGCATTTCTTTTCGCGACGCCTCTTTTACTATTATGTTATTTTTTTCTATATTCAGGCGGGGCTTAGGTTATGGGGTTTTAGCCAACGATGTTTTTGTGAGAGTTAACTTTTCCTGTTTTACCTAAAGTTCAGGAAATGGATTGCGGAAGTTATGTTTTTCCGCCTTCTTTACATATTTCTTTCATTTTATTAGGAGAAAAGTTACTATGACTATTAGAATATTCGTATATTAATATATTTTACGTTATTTTCAGGTAGTTTTGTCTGTTTTGTGGAAAGATTGGTAAACAAATCACTTGACTCAAGAATAGTTTAGTCTAAGAAAACAACGTCTCGTGTCTCGTTCGGGCGCTGTATTCGCGCCCCTGTGAGAGTTTTCCTTCGCGAAAATTTCATATCGCTACCCCACGACAGATGGCGTAGCTCACTAGTAAAATTGTCTTTAACCAGGTTTTTGATAATAACATGGACATTTATGCATGTAAACTCAATAAATAACTAATAGAATAAATTCCTTATGAGTACTTAGTACCTACTACGTGTTTAAATTTCTAAATTATTTTAAATTTTAAATATTTTCTTTTACGAGTCAGCACAGTGCTGCCTAATCTGAATATAGTTTTGAATCTGAATTTTAAGAATTGGAAGTTTTGCCGTTGAATAACTACTTTATATGACTTTTCTTCTGTGTTAAAATCAATTATAAAATGTTTTCAGAATCTTGAATTTTTTTTATTTTGTATTTACCTTGTAAAATATCTTTAAAGTTTAATGTCAGCTTAGATAACTTAGATGTATGTGTCTAACTTAGACTACTTAATTTAATATTGCTTATTACATAGTATTTAATTTAAAGGTGATTATTAATTTCCATAAGATATTTATAGTGTTTCCAAAGATTGGACTAGTTTCTGATAGACAGACAATAAATGTTTTGTTTAACATAAAATAGAGGGCGCTATGATTCGCAACGTAGTATTAAAATGATACGATATTAGATTAGTGAATGAACTCCGAATTGCGCGACACGTATTATTAGGTATATAACCACATTTATAATCAACTTTTAATTTAAACTAAAATTCGATTCCACAAAATTAAAATTAAAATTCAAGTCACAAAAATCAAAACGAACTTACTACCAATTTTTTTAAAAGTGTAAATTTGTTAGTTCATAATTATTTATATTTTAAGTTGTATACCTATATTTTCATTTAGTAATAGTTAATATTAATTTTATTTATGTCTATTTTACCTTAAACATTAAACATTTTGTTGTATAATAATAATTCAATGAATATTTTTGTGAATTGCCATAGGTACACCTATGATTTTTTTATCACAACTCCTTGGTTACTTCCCGCCTTACTCCGACTTATCATTAGCAAGTATAAATTGCTATAACGATATAATAGGCAGGAGGGGCATGCATGGGAGTGACTGTACTACGGTCTATGAACACGTAGGTATTTCAAACGGACTTAGAAAAATGGCATGTATTGTATTTTCAAGGTGAAGCAATTAGCGAAGCCGTTGTGTTGATACTGAGGCATTTATCGATGTAAAATACCTACGTATTAAAATATTGTTATAGTCTAGACTTGTTTTTAATTTTAATGTAAAAAAAGATTGTGTTTTTATTTTTTTTATTTTAATTTTAATTTCAAAGTTTCAAATAAAAATGTTTGATACTCATTTTAAGAAATAAATTTTATTGCTCACGGATTTAAAATTGAATCCATGGACTCCGTTGATTCCATTTTTAAATTCCATCCCATTTCATTTATTTTATCATGGGTTATTTTTTGTGGTAAAAGTTATTTTTATAAATGTTTATGCAAAATAAATATTATTTTGGTGATTTTTATTGTTTCATTTTTTGCGTGTAATACCTATTTTAAATGTTCCTTGCGAACATTTAATTGTAATAAGTAATAAAATAAACCAAAAGCTTTAATATGAAATAGACAAAACCCTTCACATTTCATAGACCAGCAGACTTGTGAAGCAGGGTTGTGATTCTTAGCTACGAAGGGTTGAAATATTGACCGATAGATGGCGAAACTTGTCCCTTTCTGAGAGATTGAATACTGTAAATTTGCTAATTTGGTTTTCTAATGTAAAAATTAATTACAATATATATTTTGTTTAACTTTAAAAAGTATACTTTACAAGAACATTGCATTTATGTCACAACAAAAAACATTATATTAAAAAATATTGTTTTGTACGTTTGAAGTTTGATGCAATTGCAACTAATTAGAAAAAGATTGTTGGCTAGTATATATTTGTATCGATATGTCGATTAAGTTCATCGGCCGCAAAAAGTTCACTACTAGACGTAGACCTAAATAAGGTCGGTTTGAGGTGATCTGTATCCTGTATATTCCTGCGATCTTTATAGGCTGTCAATATGACGAACGGTGATTATTTATGTGGCAAGAAATAGTTTTAAATTCGTGACTACAGACTTTTGTAGACTTAGGTTTAGCTCAACAGTGGACTGTGACTAGCTGTTTATGACTGGATACAAAAAGTATTCATATTAATGGGGTAGATGACTAATTTTTATTTTATTATCTGGTAAATTATTTAAAAACATTAGACACGTATTTTTTACTAGCTACTTCCGCGCGGTTTCACACGCTGTGCCTCAGCTCCTATCATTATTATCACTATAAATGTGCTATCCAACACAAAAATAATTATTCAAATCAGACTTGTAGTTACGGATATTAGCGCGTTCTAACAAACAAAAAGCAAACTCTTCCGCTTTATATAACAGTATAAGAAGTATAGGATTTTCTTACAGAAACGAATACTTTCAAAGATACCTATATTGATTTGAAATATCGCATAACGTCACTTTTGATTACGATTCATACTCGAAAAAGACGTAGCTACCTTCCACTCCTAAACTTTGATTCGTTTTATCTAAGTATTGATTTCATAAACGACAAAATAAAAAAATACGTGTCGAATATTTTTTCATAACCTAACTGACGGACTAATTAGATTTTTAATTTTCAAACCCAATCATCATCCCTATTATACATACTATACCGCATACCATTCTATGTTTTATTCTAAAATGTCTCACTTTCTTCCTAAATCGAAGTCCAGTACACAGTAACAGAACAATACTTTAACACCACCGTCTATAAAACAGACAGACAGACAGGCGATCGTAATAATAATATCGAATTAAACAATGAATCGAACAGGCCGCTCGGTTGACCCTACGTTTTAGGGAGCGTTCTACAATGGAATCATTTTAAAGAAACAGTGTTTTATTTTTTGTAAAACAACGGGTAAGTATGTTTTCTTTTTGATCTTTCATTGAAAATTTTTTTATATTATGTACCTGATTACAGAGAAATTAACGTAATACGTATTCATCATGACATCAGGCCTTTTATCTCTGAAGGGGTAGGCAGAGGCACATTACGACATTAAAGGCCACTGTACTAATTTACTTTATACTTGAATACTTTTTCAATTAAGTTATTAAAAAAAAAACACAAATATATTTTTTTTAAATTTGCACATACAAAAACTACTACCAATTTAACAATGTAATCGAAGTCATACCAATTGCATTGAAAGATCACCAAAGGAGCAATAAAAACATCATAAAATCATTCAATTTCAACTTTTACCAAAAACTTCATAAATTTCAATCAAAATACAAAACTGTCTACAAAACATAGTATAATATAAAACTAAACTAATTAACAAAACATTCACGCCAATAAAATAGAAAGGTGTAGCAGATCTATCACTGATAACAGTCGACTAGATTTATTCTCAACTAACTGACAGGTTAAAACGTAGCCTATCTTTATCTTTTAGTAGCTTGTAAAATATTTAGCTTATTTAGCTTAAGTGAGTGGCATTTTTAACTTGTAAGCTAAGGGAATATGGACCTTATTGGATGATGGTTTCGTTTTGAATTTAAAGCAGTAGTTTTTTGGCATTGAAGGTTTGTTTTGGGTTGACAAACATATTAATGTGTTGGCATACTTTGAACGTTGATACACCGTATTTTTGTAAAAACAATAATACAAACAGCCAATTGACTGTATTATAACTTTCGTGAGACGTACTAAATAAATTATTATGTTTTCGGCTTACTCACGTAATTATTTGACGATAGGAACTCCATTGATTTTAAGCCATGCTATATAGGCTCATATTCATGAGCAGCATTTCGCGATCCGCGCCGAGGCGACTGTCGCTGCTACTTGCACTCGCATGGTTTGAAACTAGTCGAGTTCCTCGTCAAATAATTAGGTACTTACGTGAGTAAGCCGAAAACATAATAAGCAAATTGACTGTTAAGATTATGAGTTTTCTCTACTTAAAGGGTTTTCTAATATAATCTTAACGTTTTGTAGCATGTAACATTATCATTCATAAAGTGCAAGTTCATCAAAATTTAACACTTCACTACCTTCTGTCAATAGCTTCTCAGTTAGTTTTTACGATACACACTGAA